CTGTGTTTTATCCACACTAGACACACACACATACAGCATTTCTATACTTGTGAGGACTCTCATTAACATAGACTATTCCCTAGCCTTAACCTTAAATGAGAACTCCATTGATTTTATGCACCAAAGTCTCTTTACATGTCTGGGAACGCTACTGTAAGCGTGAAGAAAGTTTTATTGAGCCTTTTGTAGCTCCAGTAGGAGCTGCGTAAAATCAGCTAAACTGCCTCAAGTAATGTCACTTAAGTGTCTGCTCAGTCTGAAGACTACAAGTTTGAAAATAAAGTAACTGTTGGTGTGGAGTGAAAAAGAAGTGAGCTCACCAGACCTCTGTAGGCTACTCCTCATCTCTGCTTTAGGCCAGTGGCTCAAGGCTACATTCACTGTTGCTAGCATAACACACTGAATCTCCAAAGTCTCTGGAGGTCTCTGGAAGCTGGAGCTGGGAATCACGCCACACCCTTATTGAGCATGTCACAGTACAAAACCAAGATGTAGAAATACCAGTTCCAGCCAGGCCAGCTATTCTTATCATTAAGAGTTGATAACGTATTATGCTGCATTTTGCACATACAAACACCATAGCAACATGTCCACAAATAGAAATTGAACAGTATTGTGTGTACGACTGTTTTAATTGCTCAAGGCCACAGCTGCTACTGGCGTAACACACTCGAATCTCCATAGCGGTGCTGTGTTCCATTTAACATTACCTCAAAAGTTGGAGCTGGGAATGACATCACACCCAGTACAAGAAGTCAAAAAACCAAGATGTTGTTGGCAGTACCAGTTGATAACTACACATTATGTTGCATTTTGCGCATACACACACACCATAGCAGCATATCCACAGATAGATGCAAAACAGTACTGTGTTTATGGCTGTTTTAATAAGACACACATAAGACAGAAGTGCTAATAAAGCTTGAGGTTGGGGCTGGTGAGGTTCTGCAACTGCCTGAGTCATAGATCCGTCTTCGGGGGTGTTCATTTTAAATTACTGGGAACTCATAAATTTCAACTTCTCAGCGCAAATGGAACGCACCAAAACTGTTGACTGTTGAGTTGCATTGTGGGTGATGTGGGCACCAGGTTAAGGAAGAAAAATGCATGGAATAAAAAAGAGCTCTCTGATTGTGCTGCTTTGAATTTGATTCTCTTTTTACCTGTCTGTCCATCGTAAGTGTTGTTATCAGAGAGTTAAACATCACAAATAAATGCCTAACCCCCGTCCTTACCCTAAACTGAACCTAAACCTAATTCTAACCATGACCTCAAAACCAGATGTTAACCAAACTCCCTTACCAAGATCCCACTGAAAATGTCCTATTATCAAAAAATTGTCCTCCCTGCCAAGGTCTTAAACTCAACCTGGTCCTCACAATGATAGACATACAGTACAAGGAAACACACAAACACATAAGAACACATTCTTAAACCTTGGGTCTCCTTCCACCCTGCAAGCCTCCTTTCCTGTGTGAAATTAATTTTCTGTTCAATAACATTGAATATTGTGCCTCAAGATCAATTCAGTTGCAATCACACACACACACACACACACACACACACACACACTCCCTCCTTCTCATTCATGTGTTGGGAGGAGCTGGCGTGTCGATGTGGAGAGGTAATTATTTGCTTGGCCAGTCTGAGCCTGCTCTGAGTCTCAAGGACGGACTTGCCTGCAGCAACAGTACCAACCAACACTGTGATTACACAACGGAAATAAGCATGTGTCTAAGCACGCGTGTGTATGTGTGTTTGTTTGTGTGTGATGTGGGGGCTGTGACTTGAATGAAAGAGTGTCCTTGTGTTTTTGTCTGTATGCAGAATCTATAGTGGATATATGGCTCATAACTTTCAGAGCAGTGTGTGTGTGTGTGTGTGTGAGAGAGAGAGAGAGAAAGAGAGAGTAGGTGTTTGTGTGGGCATATGCATTGGTTTGCACACTAGTCATGATGTGTGTATGCCTGCGAGGCTATATAGAGCAATGGCTCGTTCCTGCAGGTCTCCACCTCAGGGAATCACAGCCACAGTCCCACCATTACATATACGCACAACACACACAAACACACACGTTCCCTTGTGTGTCACTGTCACAGTATAAAAGCTGGGATGGGGAGCAGGAAATTGAAGTTGGGAAGGAGATTGGGGAGAAAATGGGAGAGTGCGGATGGGGAGGAAAGGAAGGAGAAAAAGGTTTCAAAAGTCAGCACACTGTAGGTAAGGTAAAGAAGACAAAGGAGGAAAAGAGAGGAAAGGAAAAGACAGAAATACACACAGAGAGATTGGAAGAAGGCCAATGGAGGATGAACATCAGTCATGAGAGATGAGCTGATCATCACAGACGGGCCAGACAGATAATGTTTCACTTTCTGGCCCCATAAAATGTTTTTACGACAGCTCTCCCCAGATGACTGCTACCTGTTTTTATTTGGCTGCGTATTTGTGTGAGTGTGTAGTTGAAAGCTTATAGAGCACAAAGCATGCATAAATGGGATTGCATGCCATATTCGTATGTGTGTATGTGTGCTTGTGTGCATGCATGCTTGCATGTGTGAATGCACACAAACAGGATGATTATGGATTGTGAAGAGGGTGTGAATGGGATTTCGTGGTGTCGTTTCCTTGGGTGTGTGTCTATGTTTATGTGTGTGTGTGTGTTCAGAGTGCTGTAGAGCCGTAAAGCTGTGCCAGAGAGTTTTGAATGATAGCCTTGGACTACCACAGCCAGGAGACCAATAACAGTAGGCGGCTCAAGGAGGTTCCTGCCAAGTGACCAATGATTAGATCCAACTGAAGGAGACCAGAGCTGAATGGCCCGTCATTCCTCAGCTTCATTCCCCCTCAGAGCCTCATTCCCAGCCTCCCCCAGTAACAGGACGGCATTTCCATCCTGAGTATTGCAGAAATGCATTGGTTTAATCTCTGGGTCCTTAGTTTCTTTTAGAGTTTTTTCTCGAGGCTTCGTAGGAGGAAGAAGAGCAAGTGACTGCGCATGCTCTTGTTGGAAATAATAAAGTTTGTTCTATCCAATCAGTTGGTGTTTAAAAGAAAAAAAAATAACCCAAAAAGCTAAATATGTGAAATCTTGTTCCTGACTCCTCTGCTCTGACCTCTTGTTATTTCTTTGCCTTAATGATACTGCTGCTTGTTTCCTTGCCTTCTTGCAGACTCGGCTTGTGTGTGTATTGACTCGTAGTATTGATCAGATAGAGCAGCAGGGTGGTCCGGCACTAAGTTGTCAGTACATCCTGAAAGTGAAGAAAAGCACTGTGTTTCTCAGAATCTGGCAAACAAAAGCGGTAAAAGCTAAATTGTCTGTATTCATCTGCTCAGTTCAGTCATTTAGTCATGGAATAAAAGGAGTCTCTGGGCCCGGCTGTTAGTCTTCAGGGCCAATTTATGACTAACACATCTCCCGTCTGTGTAATTCACAAACTGACCCCGGCTGTTTGACTTATTGATTTTTGCTGGAGTGGGGCTCCTAAAGCATCCCTCCCCTCCTGTTGGTGGGACTCCATCCAGAACACACTGTGTTCCGGCTCCGTGGCTCCGGCACATCCTGTGGTCATCCTGGGCTTACTGAGGAAGGTGAGGAAGGCTCTGGCTGGCTGGTCTACTGCTGGGTGCCCCGGGCTTCTGGATGAGGATGGCTCCCACAGGACCCGCTCCCACTGATCATTACTGTCTATGAATAGCTGCTGCATTGCAGATGGAGGGAGGAGAGGGAGGAGAAGGAAAGGTAGACAGGAAGGAATTGTTGTGATGGGTGAAGAAGAGCAAATGGTTTGTGGAGAAACAGGGAGAGGGGAATAAGGTGTGTCTGTGCTTGTGTGCACATGCAATTTCATTTTCAAGGACACTCAGGTCCCCCACTGTGGTGATTTAGAAGCAATGCCGGCTATTTTCTGTTTTCAATATCTGCTCCAACAACAAAATCGGCACGTCAGATTATTGCAGACGGGTTTCTAAACACAGCGTGATTGTTAGGAGGCAATAAGACAGAGACGGAGTCTCACAGAGAGAAAGGTGTTGGGAGGAGTGAGTGAAGACAGCCAGACAGGGTGGAAATGAAGATGATAAAGAGGATGTGTCCACTGCCTCATTACATTTCAGAGTCTTTGATTAACGTATAATGATTGCTGCAGCCTCACAAACCTCCATGTTCACTCACTCTATGCATGCACACACAGTCACAAAGATACGTTTTTATAGGAAAAATGCATTTATTCATTTCCCAGAATTGTAACCTTAATCAAAACTGCTACAAGCCACAGACAACCCAAACTCAAACCTTAGCCAAAAACAAAGAAATAGTTTATTTCATGGGGATGTACTTTTTAAGATGAGGGCTCACATGACTGTGTGCAAGCTAATGTCCCTGTATGCAAGTAATACAGCTAAGGCTGCAACTGGTGATTATTGCCTTTGTTGATTATTTTGATTAATCAGTTATAGTATTGGTTATATTTTAAAAACAATGTCTTGTTCTGTTCAGACTGAGGATCCAAAAACCAAAGACACTCTATTTATAATGGTAGGCTATAAAAGAGAGAAAAGCTCCTTACACTGGAGAGGCTGGAACCAGAGAATGTTTGTGTGAGGCTGTGCTTGGAAAAATAAGCTAACACGGTAATCAAACAATTATCAGCATAGTTGGCAATAAAGTTGAGATAATAAATGCGTTTCGAAAGATTTATTTGTAATATTTATGATTGATCATCATTTTTCAGGCAAAAATACAAACACTCATTGGTTATATTTACAGCAAATTTAACAACTTTGACTTCATGGACTGTTAGAGGAAATGGAATATGAGCATGGACTTCAGGAATTTGAAACTATTTTCTGACATTTTAAAGATGCTGATCCTCACACAAAAAGAAATCTCTTGCACTTAAGACTGTGTACTCTTTCCAAACAGACTGACTTCTGGGTTCCATCTACACTTGAGTAGCGTACTATTGATTGATTGTCTGGCTTGTTGAATGATGATGATGATGATGATGATGATGATGATAATAACAATAATGATCATTCCTCTCTGCTACTAAATGCCTGTGGGCTGCGCTGGCAGAAATGTGACATTAATTTGTCCTTGTGGCAAATGTTTGTGGTTTGGTTTGTGCATGAAAAAGCTTTGGCACTGGCGTTAAAACTCTGTGCAGACCTCCCTCTTTCTCTCTCTCTTCTCTCTCTCTCTCTCTGTCCATATACTCCGCTATACTCCGCTCACTACATCCAGTCGCGGTTAACGGGCGTGCGGTTGCCAGGAGAGACGCGTGTACAGTACCGTGTACAGCTTTAACGGCAGAGCGGCACGGGCTCTCCCCCGCCATTTCCTCGTGTCGAGCCCTGGAATGTCGAGTAGCGGTTCGGGCTCTTCCTCGCGGAAGGAGTTCGATGTGAAGCAGATCCTCAGGATCCGATGGAGGTGGTTCGGTCACCCCGCGGTCCCTCCCCCTCACTCCCCGCCGCTCGGAGACTACTTCGCTGGGAGGAGAGCGGGTGGCAGCTCCGGAGACGGACCTTCAGTTAGCGGCTGTAGCAACTCGAATTCAGCCAGCGCAAACCCCAGCGCCGGGGGTCACAGCGGGCTGGTGGCCAGCGGCAGCGCCGGGTCTAACCTGTGTAACAGCACCAACAGAAAGTTTGCTGATCCGCCGGGGAGTCGGGGCGGACCGGGAGGAGCGGCAGTTGGAGCGACGGGGAGCTCCTGCCCCCGCTCCTTCAGCCAGCCAGAGTGTAGGAGCCCCGCCACGGCGCTGTCGTGGGTATCCCCGCCGCCTCATCGTCGTTCCCGTCCGGCGACGAGCATGGAGCCCCCCAGCGAGGCCCCGGTACCCCAGCTGGTACCCGAGCCACCCGCGCATGTCGGGGCTGAGGAGGAGGCGGCGGCACCGGCAGCGTCGGGCACCGAGGACAACAACCACCCGGAAACAGACTCCAGCTCCTGCAGGTAGGAGGCGGAGGTCTAATGTCTGTGTCGGGACCTTGTTGCTAAAACTAAAGTTACAGGGCAACATTTGTACAGAATAAAGTCAGTGAAATTCACATAACACACACACACTAACTAAAAAGTTAGTGTGTAGCAAGTGAAGAGGTTGCTCACCGGCTGAGTTAGCTTTCACACTTACTGAAAAGGAAAGGAGTGTTTTGAATCATGCTGCCTTATCATGATGTAAAACAGTAACGAGGCTAACCACCCTGTTCTAGTTAACTGACAGTACGTTACGTTGCTGTCATCATATTCATCATTACTGGCAGGTGGAAACTATGAATATGTTTCCAGTGAATAGGCTATTTAGCATGGGCGTAGGTTTCTTTTTTTTGGCGGGGGACGACGACGACGACACACATGAAACAGAGGGTATAGGGGTCCTCTGCCAGAACATTCTGAGCATCAAACACATAATCTCCTGTGGATGTCTTTAATTTTGTCAAAATAAAAGACCTCTGCCACTTTATTGTTTTTATTTGGGGGGAGGAGGCAAATGCACACGTTCTAAACATTGAGAGGGGCATGTCCCCTGCATCTCTCCCACCCCCACCCCCACCCCCCCAACCCCAAATCTACACCTATGCTATATAGAAAAAGTAAATGGGAGATTAACTAAGCAAGAGGGAGGACAGACAGTATGCAGCAGTGGAGGACCACTCATTACATAAAGATAGATGGGGAGGGGGAGAGAGAAAATGATGGTTGAGTACCTTTGGGACAGCATGTGGTCCTCTGATTTCTCCCCTCAACCACCTAATGAGGCTCCACCAACCAGCCTCTGTGTAAAGACACGGACATGAATATGGAATATTCTGAGTCAAATTAATAAAATGACTCAGGGGCTGAGCTCTGCATACAGCAACATACTGCACTTGACATTTATATTGTTTTGTCTTCAGTGACTGATTCTCTTTTAGCTTGTACTCCCAATCCTCAGTGCTCTGCATGTTTGTGTGCACATGCATGATGGAGTGCATGTTGCATTGGTGTGGCTGTCCAGCCGTTGTGGTGTGAAAAAAGGGTTTAATTAGAAGTTGCTATGGAGACAGCAAAACAAAGCAATTAGAGCATCATAGCTCCTCTCCCAGGTTTCTGTTTTTATTATGATGCAGCTGTAAATGTGATGAAGTAAAGGGAGAAAAACAGACAGTGAGTGTGTGTGTGTGTGTGTGTCTGTTTATGCGCATGTTTACTATACAGCCATAATGATGCATCTGAAAGCCTCCTATCATACTCGGTGTTCCCAAGGCACACATCAGAAAATATACATGATTCATAGGACACGCACACACTCTTTAAAACAGCTTTCAGTGGGAGCAAGAGCTGATGTATTTTCTTTTAAATCAATTGTCTGATACGCTTTTATTCTACACCCCATTTGTTTTCACCACAAATGTGTATGATTGTCTGTGAGAGAAAGAAAGAGACAGAGAGAGATATATGCTTTTAAAAATATCTATTGTTATGCAAGGCTTGATGCCATATCTTCAGTGATGATGGGAGTCTGGCAGCACTTGCACAGAAAATTACTTGTACTTAATAGTAATGCACACACACGCACACACACATACACACACACACACACACACACCTACCAGCATCATTAGCATAAGCAAAGGCAAAATTATGATGTGAACCTGAACTGAATTTGAGTATGTATTGTGAATGGATGTAGCCATATTCTTGCACATGTTATAGTTGCCATACCAACACAGAGGTTAGTTTCTGCAGCATATATGTGCAGCTCTGTGCATGTGTGTTTTGTGATTTGTGTGTGTGTGTGTGTCTTTCTGTATGCAATTCATCCCCTCCCTATGAAAGCTCCTGTGTACAGTATGATACTCCAAGAACGCGAGTGGCAGAATCCCAAGTGGGATCATGGGAAGGGACGCGTACTGAATCCCAGAGTGGTTGAAGGCTCGGCTCGACTCCACTGATCTCCTCCTCTCCCTTTTACTTTCTCACCCCACCCAGCTCCCCCCGTTTAATCCTAGTGTGCCTCCCTTACTCACTCTCTCTCTCTCTCCCTACGTCCCATGTTCATCTCTGCCCACCCTTGTCCATTCATTTGCCCTCTCTGTTTTTCTCTTTCCTAATGTGTGAGGAAACAAAGCACTTGTATGTGTGTCACGGACAGAGTAACATGTGACCAGGCAGGCACCGTGGCTGTATGATCATGTCGTATATCGTCTTGCAGAACCAAGTTTCATTTGCATTAGCTGCTAGCCTACAGGCTAATCAGGCTAGATAGTTAATCACAAGGAAGTGTGTGTGCAAATATGTGTGTGAGAGAGAGGGGGTAGGCAGGGAGAGAGACACTGAATGACAGTGGTGTGAGTGTCCTTGCCTGGTGCAGGGGTTTAAAAAATCTGGCTGCATGGTGTTGATTCGCCCTAGACACACACTCTCTTTCTCCTCTCTCTCTCTCTTTCTCTGTTTCTCTCTCTGTCAATGTTGAGTGCCTGCCAGGCTTAATTAAGGGGACTGGAAGGCAGCGTTCCCCCACTTCAAAGCCGTCTCCTCTGGCAGTATTTAGCCACGCCATTCGTCTACATACACACACACACACACACACACACACACACACACACACAAGAGGGCAGGAAAGCTAGCCAAAAAGCCTCCTTGGAGGGTTAGATTGGGATAGGGAAGAGAGAAAACCGAGGCATAGATGGATGTTGGAATGATGGGATGAGGTGGGATGAAGTGAGTGATGGATGAGATTAGCTGAAGATATAGAACTGAGGACGGGTAGAGAGGAGTAGAGGACAGAGGCAGGAGGAAGATGATTCCTGCTACAGCACATTAGCAGCTTCAGCATCACACACAAACCTGAATGTGTGCCTGAATACACACACTGTGAATGCCATGCACACCAGCGTTTTCCTATAACTTTACTTAGCAGTGTCTGAGTTTATTGTGAAATTCAGGTCAAGTCAGTTTTATTTCTAAGGCCCCAAATTACAAATTTGCCTCAGAATGCTTAAAACCTGCAATAGCTGATTTTCTTAGTTACCTGAGGGCAGCAGAAAGAGGCTGTAAACACAACAAATCCTGCAGACACAGAGAAACATTAGCATTCATTTGGAGTTGTGCTACTTAAAGTGTGTTGGTCCAAAGTTTTTGGGCTTCACCAAGTGAGAGAAATATCAGGTTCCCTAGCTGCTAAATGCTCTACTAGGTTCACCAGCTAGTCATTTACTTTGTGCGCCTGACATCTGGTGCTGGGCAGGCATAGACTGTATCAAATAATGGACATTGTCACCGTGAGGCCACCCATTTTTTGTGGACTCCCATTGTGAAGCCTCAAGTTAAGCATTCTGGCCGTTGCCATCTTGAATTTTTGAGCCAGTAGTGATGGCTGATTTGGATGAAAGCGTGGAGATAACCTTAATGCTAGCTGCAAGCTTGGTTAGGGCGGTTCATGCACAGTTGTGGTTAACTGTGATAATGCAAATGCAATGCTAATTTTTGCTTACAAAAACAGGCTTAGAACCATTAATACAAAATATTTAGGAACCGTTCTTTGTTTATCAGAGGAGGGGGGTGGCCGGGGTGTGACTTTATTTTTTTATTTTTTGTATGTTTGTTCTTGTTTTACCCTCCCTGAAGCTACAAATATTTCTCCTTGAGCCTCCCTGCGTGACTGGCAAAAACAATGCCTGACCGTCCCTCCACCTTTGATGTTGAAAAAGTTGAAGACGAAAAAAGCCTTGCATTTTCACTCTTGTCGTCCATGCTGGTTAGTCAGTGCAAACTATTTTAAGCTGAGATTTATTTATGTTTTTTTTCCTGTAGGAAGCGTTTGTCACATGATACATCCAAGGACTGTCAGAAATGAGAAAATGCAACAATAATTTCTGTTTTTACAGTTTTTGGCTATGGTGTAATGAATGGTGTAATTTGGGCGATTCTTGAAGAAAACGTCTTCCAAACCCGCCCACGAGTTTGGACTTTCCTTTAAAAATGTGCGGTAAAAGAAATACAAAATACAAGCATTTATAGTTAAACCAAAATAAAAAACACAAGACTCTCCCCAGTGCTTAAAAAAATATTTGACATGCTCCCTCTTTTTGCACCACTCCCTCCTCCATAATAAATAACTAATAGTCCCTTACCAGAAAAAAAAAATCTAACTATTTAGAAGGTCTCTTAGTACAACCAAATGCTGAACAAGACTTTTTTAGGACATCAAAACCTTACAGTTAATTTCATGAACTGACAATACAACGAAATAGCAACAGCTATGTCTATACTTTGTGAATTTGGGGTTGTGCCAATGTTATGTTACCTTGTTAGTGATAAATCAAAGGATGGCGCCCACCTGTCACTTAAAGTAGCCATGTCCTAAATTATGGATAACTTTAAGCCTTAACATTTAAACAAGTGAGCTGTATAAAAATCACCTGTCCTGTACAGTTGTCATGAAAGCAGAAATCAGCTAGTAAGACCAAAATCAATTTTTGTACCAGGCTGCAAAATTTTGCTGTAAAGTTGGACATTTTTTAATGGGGGGTCTGTGAGGTTTGACTTGCTTTTGGAGTCAGCCTCAAGTGACCTTCCAAAAAACCACAGTTTTTGGCACGTACACGTTGGCATCATTTTTAAGCCCTGGAGGTTGCTCTAGGTAGTGTACAGTAGGTGTATGAAAGCTTCACATGCATTAATGCAGAACCAAAACAGTGGAGTTGCAGGCTGGAAAATCATCACACGCAAATGCTCCACAGAGCTGAGAGGAACTGCAGTGGGTTCATATGGTCATGTGATCTATCATTGATATAAAAATATTGATTTCAGTTGCTGTAAGAATCTATAGTTGGATGAGGGATAACTCCAAAAACTCCAAAAACACAAAGCTAACAGAGGAGGGATATGTTCTAGAGAAACAGACTGACAACATTTGGTAACTAAAGGGCAAACATGTATAAACAACATGGACCAGAGAAGATGTGAGCAACCTTTAGGTGCTGCAAATTCAACCTGGGCCCGAAAACCCTTTCGGTACCACAAAAACCAGAGAGAGGACACTTTAGAGCTACAAGCCACATTATCCATTGCCTTCCCAGAATGTCTGTCTTGTTTCTTCTCTGTTTGTTGCTAAAAGAATATTCATGTGGAAAATTGCCATTTAGGACAGTTAGATTTACAACCACACATACACGAGCACGCACACACACACACACACACACACCCTTAAAAGAGTGTGATTTCTCTTTAACTGTAGAGTTGAAATGATATCATCCTCAGAGTATCAGTTCATTTCGTATCTCTTTGTGCTGTAGGGCTCGTCCTGCCACTTCTGCTGTTAAATTAAAAATGGAAGTACAGCCCTGGCTCTCATAAATTAAATGCTGGTTTGGGAGCCATGATGGCTGATAATTCACAGGGTAGCTATACTTCGGTGCTTATCTTTGATGAACACACAGGCACGCACCTACACACACACTCACACCTCATCAGCTCAGACTGGAAGAATAAGACATATCAGCCCTGGGCTGCAACACTTCCACCAGAGAATAACAAATGTTGAAGCCATCCTGGCCCAAAACTCTGCTTCATTTCTCGTTGTTGGTATAGATAGAAGGAAACTCGGTTGCCATTAGGGAGCAGAGTAAATTACTGCACATCCTATGGGCTCGGCTCCCACAGCTATTTAATTGGCAGCTTCTCTTTTAAGTGGGCTAAATTTATCTGGCCATTTACTCCTAGTAATTGGACCATTAAAGAGCTTTTGTCTGCTTCTGGCGACATACAGTAACCCTGTTGAGAAGTGAAGGAGAGAGCGAATATGTGTGAGGGAATGGCACAAAGAAAAAGATGGCACATGGATGACACAAAGCAGCTGGTGTAGCTCTCTGCACACATCTGTCTCTTTGTCTTGAACAAAAGGGAATCAACACCTACACATGCACTCAAAGCTCCTGTCTCCTTCTCTTTGTGCCTGTTTGTCCGTGTGTTTGTGTGAATGCCTGTCACTGTGTAGGACATCTAACAGCAGCGCCACACTGTCCTCATGTGTGTCCTTGGAGCCGTGTGCGTGTCCAGAGGAGTGTATGTTCACCGCTCTGTCTCACGCCGACGTCACCTTCCGGAAGATGGAGGGCTACCTGAGGTCCCGACAGCTGTGTGATGTCATACTGGTGGCTGGAGACAGGCGGATACCTGCGCACAGGTAGGAGCAAAGAGACACTAAAATATACACAAACATGCAGTGAAGATGGTGACGTTAAATAGATGTACGTCGTGAGGGCTGCAGCTTTGTTACTGTCAATTGATTGGGCCAATGCGATGTCTTTAAGTTGCATGTTTTGTCAAATCAGCAGTCCAACACTCATAAGTTTTCAATTTACAATGAAATTCACTAAGAAAGACCACACCATTAAAGATTCAGATTTAGAATACTATGTTGCGTATGATGGATTAAGGGTCTGGAGGGAAGGATGAGGGGATGAGAATCGAGGGATGAAGGGATGAGGGGATGAGGAGATGGATGGTGAGGGGTCGAAGAATGGGGGGATGACAGGTGAGAGATGAATGAATGGGGGATGAGGGGATGAAGGGTGAGGGATGGAAGAATGAAGGGATAAAGAGATAGAGAGTGAGGGATGAAAGGATGGGAGGATGAAAGGTGAGAGGTGAATGAATGAGGGAAGAGGGGATGATAAAATGAGGGTCAAGGGATGAGTGGATGAAGGGATGAAGGGTGAGGGATTTATGGATGGTTAAAGGTAGAGGGATGAAGGATTGCAGGATGAAGGCTTAGGGATAAAAGGATGAGGAGAAGATGGATTGAATGAGTGAGGGTAGAGGGGTGAAGGGATAGGGAGAAGATGGCTGAGGAATGAATGGATGAGGTGTTAGAGGGATGAAGGGACAGGGAGAAGACGGCTGAGGGTTGAATGAATGAGGGTAGAGGGGTGAAGTGATGAGGAAAAGATGGCTGAGGGATGAATGGAAGAGGTTACAAGGATGAAGGCATGAGGAGAAGATTGCTGAGAGATGAAGAAATAAGGCGAGAAATCCAGGTCGTGGATAGATGGATGGGCGAGTGCCATGATGAATGGTGTCGGCTGAAGGCAGGAACTCAGGATGGAACCGCAGTAGCTGGGACTCTGTTGGGGAGCTGTTCATTCTTAACTGTTCAACTGCACATTTTAGCAGTATACATCATAAATGTTCATCTGTGTAAAAAGTCAGTGTAAAACCAATGTTATCATGGCAGAATGATAATCGCCAAAAACTGCTTTTTACATTATTTTGGGAAACGAAGGCAGAAATGTAATTAGGAGTCATCATTTTCTGATATGGTATTGTAAATATGTTTTTTCTTTGGGTTTATTTTTGCCACTTCTCTTACATTGCTGGCTGCCCAAAATAGGCTGTGCATTTTATGACTCATACACACTATAAATGTTGACATACAAACACAGCATGCAAACACACTCTGAAATGTACACACATATACATCCATCTAGAGCTTTGTTTCGGGCAAAATTAGCAACTTGAAGATATCACCTTGGAATGTGAAAGGTTATAATGGACATTTCTCTCTGTTTGATGACATTTTATAGACAAAAAAATCAGTCAGTTTATCAGAAAAGTAATTGCTTTCTTGTTGCAGCCCTAAATCCAAAATGTACATCAAACTTTTCACTATGCAGACACATGCAGAAGCAAAACTCTTGCATGGAAATAATGACATATTCATCACAACACTGATCACGTGCATGTCACACACACACACACGCACACACACACACACACACACACACACACAAATAACACATGCTGCTCACACAGGATACTGTTTGGAAAGAATCTTTCACACATACAGCATAACCACAGTCACGCTCATAAAAGTCCCTTTTATTTTTGTAGTCCCTCTGTTCCACACTGAGCCTCTGAATCATGCATCAAAGGCACATACACACACACACACACACACACACACACACACATACACGTGCCAGTCACCCACCTCATAGCCCCCACTACGCTGCTCTGTCACTGTTGCTCTCTGGGCATGTGGCCACGGGTGTAGCAGCAGGGTCCATCTGCACGAGGATGAGACAGAAGAGCGGCCCTCCACCAGCAGAAAGCCTTCTTTTCTCTCACTGCCTTCCTCCTCTGCCTCATTTGATTTAGTCCTCCAGGCACAGATGGTGACAAACAAAAGACCCTGCTGTATGAGAATCCTAATGGCGTATGTGAAAAGAGTGTGTCGGCATCTGAAGCTGTGTGTGTGTGTGTGTGTTGAGTGTGTGTACTTGCAAGGGGGTGGGAGTAAGATGTTTGAAAGTGGGTGTTTTGTTAGCAATTGATTTATTGTATGTGTAGGATAAAAACGCTTTTCTGGGAACAAAACCTACACCCTCTTTCTCTCCCTCTCTCTCTTTGTCTTACATGTACACACAAACAAATGTAGCGTACATGCTGAATAGGCCACTTGTACTGTGTTTAGCTGCAGATCTCTTGTGGAGTTTGTTGCAAGCAGCGCACTTTGAGCAAAACTCAAGCTCTATATGTACTTTAAAGAAGTAGAGCATGATTATACCGTTTGTCTCTGGGGCAGTGCCCTATACAAATACATTATCTTGCACAGCTATTTTTATACCCCCAAGTGGACACGTCTGTAAGAGTGCTTCCTCAACTGATTTGAGTTAATAATATACCTTTAGTCAAGAAACTTTGTGTAGCATTGTTGTAAATCAATAGATACACACCTGGGGCCTATTATGTGCATAGTATGGTTCTTGCATGTTTTTAGTACAACAAGAAGATTAAAGTGTCTACAGCCATGCTCGCAGCTCTGTGAGGTTTTACTGAGGCACAGTGGTGCCTTGAGCTAAGTGCTGATGCCAGCATGCAAGCGTGCTCACAGTGACATGGTGATGTTTCGCAAATATAATGTTTACCATCTTCACCATGGATGTATAACAAGAACTGGATGCAGTGTTGGAGGCGGGGCTCAGTTCATTCCTATGAAAGTTGCTCAGACGGGTGTTGGTGATCTGAGCAGAGGAGAATTTAGTTGTAAAGTTTTGAAATGGCATGCATTGCATGTATGCCTGTGCATACAGTATGTACTGTACAGTACCCTACCAATCCCCACCCTCTAAAACATAGGGCTCCCCCAAAATCAAATTGGAATTCAAACACTGGGATTTACCAAGTATGTAACGCTTTTTGTGTAAATATATGAAACACTGGATGGCATCATTTTTTACATGAAATGATGTTATTGCCTCATTTAGTGCATACATTTATTTCAAAATTTGCAGATAAAAAATACTTGCCTAACATAGTGGCAGGCATTGTAATCCATCCAGTAGTTATTGAGACATTTCACTGGGTAACGGATACCAGAAAACTGGATAATATGCCCTGCTAGTGACGCCACACCATTAGCGTTGCTAAAAAAACGTACTCTACGTAATGTTTATTTTTGAATATCTGTGGCGAAAAGTCATAATAGTTGAGTAGGTCTCCCCTACCAATCCTGTTGTTTTCCCCTTTCTGTTTTTCCACCACTGTGTCCCTGCCGCGAGCAGCACATCCACATTCAAACACAAACAGACACAGTGTTGAGTTTCCAGCTCGCCCTCCTTTCCTGAGTCCAACTTGTCTGTTTCCTGCTCTCTTCACTCTGGCATTTTGTCTTCTCTGTGCTCTTTCCATTATAGACTGACACACCGCCTGCCATGCCTCTGTCTTCTGCAAGGTACATTTGTGTAAATAACCCAGTACTGGATATAGCCTGTGTCGCTCACAGCAAGTCAGACAGAGACCTGCATGAAAAATTAAGGAGCAAAAATACTGTCTGTGTGTGTGTGTGGCTCAGAGAGAGAGAGGTGAGCAAGAGATACCCAGCTGGAATACTGGCAGGGCAACTTCCTGCTGACTATAGTGTATTTTGACATCTTTAGTCTGTAAAACACACACACACACACACACACACACACACACACACCGCTCCTCTTTGCTTCAGGGCAGGCTATCTGTCATGGTCCCGGTGTCACACTGAGTAATGAGATTATACACATGTGCATAACACACACACACACACACACACACACACATTCAGTACACACGCATACACACACATGTCCATTGACCATGAAGTCACCATGAACACACATAACAGTTGAAGCAGAAAATAGTAAACACGCACAAAACCATTATGAAAATCTGTTCACGTAGCAGTCAAACAGAGCTCTAATGTGAGCTTAATCTTGTGATCAGTTTACTTATCGTCAGCCATATTTAGATCAGGACATTAAAAATAATGAACCCTGCAGTGGTCTGTAGGACTACTTTATATTTCACAGTCATTTTGCATCCATTAGACAGTCACTGCCTTATTTACAAAGAAATCTCCAAGAGCAAAGAAGGAAAAGTGCTGCTCATAAAATACTAAATGACAAGTACTTCCTGGGACTTTTTTAATACCTTGATGTTAGAGAGTGTGTGTGTGTGTGTGTGTGTGTGTGTGTGTGTGTTTAACTTCACAGTGACAGAAAAGGGTAATGGATTGTTGCGGTGGGGAATTAATTAAGTGTCTTTTTTACAAATGACCTCATAATAATTCCTTTCTGTCCTTTCTCTGGCTTGCTCTCCATTATGCCACATATCTTCTCTCTCAGACTCTTTCGCCTCTAAATTTTGCATTGACCTTGCATTAAGCACATTCCTGTCTCTTTCTTTCTCTCTCGTTCATGAGCTCAGCTGCTGTGATTGACACATGCAATGAATTGAATAATCTCCTCTCCTACTGCAGGGACTGGCATGTCTTTTATAGTGGATGTCAGTTCTTGATCTGGCTGGGGATGTAACTTCTTTTATATTGTTTTTTATGGACGATTCTGTGAATTCTGAAAATGATAGTCCTTCGAAATAACTAGCCATGTGTAAGTAAAATAGAGCTAGGCGATATATCAATGATATATGGATATTGTGATATGAGACTAGAGGTTGTCTCAGATTTTGTTTATCGTAAATGTTGTCTTTTCCTGGTTTTAAAGGCTGTGTTACAGAAAAGTGCTGAAGTTTTCTAAACCTTCCACACTGTTGTAGCTGTTGTATCATTTAACTTTACCCACTTAGTCATTTTATCCACATTATTGATTATTACCTATCCAAAAATCTCATTGTATAAATATTTTGTAAAAGCAC